TTTTGAATTATTACCACGTCCATGAGGACGTCAATCTGGACGTCCGGGAACCTTCGTATGAGAACTTCTAATCGAGACGATCGACTTATTGTAAGTTTATCGCTAAGAAACCGCCGTTTGCCAGCTTTTCAAATTGATAATGAATTGCACTTAAGAACCGTACATATTAACTAACGGACTACAAGAAGAAGATTAAATGAAGCAAATCTTATGTCAAGAAGGTCTGTTTCGGGACCAGAACTTACTAGATGTGTTGACTAGGCCCAAAAGCAAAGGCATGGTCTTAATGTAAAAATTACGAAAAATGTTAGTGCCTTTCTTTAAAACCGAATATTTCCAACAAAAATAAAGCTAATGAGATGAACCAAAAAAACAAACCATTGAGAAAGGATGTATCTAGATGATAAAGTAATGTTTAAATTTCTTGCTGTTTTAACGTATTTCGCAGGGTGTTTCAAACTTTCATCAAAAATATCAACATTTTGTTTTCCCTCGTATAATTAACAGATGGGGAGTTTCATTTTTAATTTAGAAAAAGATACTAAGAAGTCAAATAATTTGGCAACACACTGCTCAAAAATCAAAATCGGCCCATTAAAATAAAATATATTAAGAAAATAAAAATTAGAAAGCTCTTTTCATTGCGGCGCCACTTGACCCCCCTTTCCATTTGAAAAAAGTTGGGGGATGACACCCCCGCTTAGAGGGTTGAATATTTTGCAATCATTTTTGGGGCAAAAGTTGTCCCCCTCACAAACAAAATTGACGTGTTTATGGATTTTTTGAAAAAATAAATACCCTGGCCGTTATGCCTTGCGGAACGTTTTCGATGGGCCACCCTGTATAGTTTTCTAATGAAACAAACCTTTATTTTTTTACTAGAATCCAAAAATCAATTAATATATAGGGTGTTCCATTACAAAAAACATAACTTTGATGTGTAACATTTTCGGCTTCACTGAGTTTTTGACTCGTCTGGTATATTATTAGAGTGGTATTAGAAAAAACAATTACGTTTAGAGCCATTTTCCTATATATCTAAAAACTGTCTATGTTATCATCAAAAGTTATTATATCGTATATAGATAATGAAAAATTAATATCTAATGTTCTACATTGATAAGCAGAAAATGTCAGGTTTTCCTTAATATCCATATTTTTCTTTGAAATTAAATAAATTCTGTGAAACCTTGAGTTGTTTTAATTGTTTCTTTAAATTTATTTTTTTATTATAATGAACTTTTTTACTATTAGGCTCACTAAATTTATTTTACAGCTGTAGTAGCTAATGTATAGGGATTTCAGAAAAATAAGTACACCTAGAGAGATTTTACAATATTTTTCAAGCATATCGTTAGACTGTTTCTGACATGATTTCAAGAAAAATGACGCGAAATTACTTATAAAATGAATATGACCATTGACTGGAAACTTATATGGTGAAATTTTGATAAAATAATTTAGTACATACTAAAAACACGGTATGTCGCTAGTGGTGTGGTAGGAAAAATAATTTTTAGAGGTTACTAGTTTATTTGGTTGCCTGTGATATGCATATACAAGGTGTTTCCTAATTAATCTAAAAAATAAAAAATCGTTAGAAAACGAATTAAGGCGGGCTCTTAATAAGTATATTTATTTTTTTCTCGACAACCGTTTGATGAACAAGAAAAACTCAAAAGATCAATTTTGTTGAAAAAGGATAGCCAGTCGAGAAAAAAATATATTTTCTTTAAAAAAGCAGTGGTGTACCATTTATGTTAAGCAAAAAAATCGATTATTTTTAATTTTTAACACCCTGTAGATCAGAAAGGAAGTACTTTAGACCTAATGGTTATATAAAAATTGTTTTAAGATCACATAAGGGATCACACCATAATTTTTTAGACTAATTCGAAGACACCCTGTATACTGTCAACTTGACAATGACTGCTGATAAATCAAAAAATACCTTTTCAGTGAAAAAAGCCTGATTTTCGCAGGAAAAATTTTGATTTTTATCGAATTTGGGCCTGCGTCTGCAAATACTGGTTTGTTTTTTAATTTTCTATCTATCTAAAATTTAAATATCATAGTCAGATATAGTTTTATTATTTATTAACTGTAAAAATGGTGTTTTCTTGTTGTGTTGCATCTTGCAAAGAAACTAACAAAACTACAAAAATGCAAGTGTTTCCAAAAGACGATAAGGTATGTATCTTAGATAAAAGAAAAATATATGGTATGTATTTGTTGTTTGATTTTTTTTTCGTTCGCTTTAAAATCTATAAATTTCGGTCTATTCATTAGACAGCCAGTCGACCTATGCAGTCGACTTACGATCATTTACATGAAACTCTGTAAAATAAATAATAAAAAAAAAAAAAAATAATATATATATATATATATATATATATATATATATATATATATATATATATATATATATATATATATATACAAAGAGGAAGTCTTGACCGATCAATTATAACCAAAACTAAGAAGAAAATTCTTGGGGATAGCGGTCTAGAGGCAAAAAATTAAACAATTTATTACAAACGCCGAGCTTTCGGAAAATATATTTCCTTTTTCAAGGGTGTAAAAAGTTTAATTATAAAAATAGAAAAATATATCAATTTCCATATGGAAGAAAAGGAACTAAAATTTTGTATAAAAGTTAAAATCTTCTTAAATATTCATGATTTCTGACATTACTAAAAATTCTAAGTAATTATTCTTAGAATTTTTAGTAATGTCAGAAATCATGAATATTTAAAAAGATTTTAACTTTTATACAAAATTTTAGTTCCTTTTCTTCCATATGGAAATTGATATATTTTTCTATACCCTTGAAAAAGGAAATATATTTTCCGAAAGCTCGGCGTTTGTAATAAATTGTTTAATTTTTTGCCTCTAGACCGCTATCCCCAAGAATTTTCTTCTTAGTTTTGTTTATATATATATATATATATATATATATATATTCTTAGGTTTTATTAAAGTTACTCTGATATACTAATATATCAGTGTAACTTTAAAAATAAGTCCTTCGAATTCAAATATAAACATAAAAAACATAGAGAAAAAACAGTAGAAAAGGCGAAGGCGCTGGATTAAACGTAGTCTGTACTAAAAACACGGAGGGGCGCTTTGACCCAAAATTTTACTATTAAGTTTCATATCTATCTTAATAGTAGATTATGTTCTTTTATCTATGAATATGACAGACACTAACTGTCAATGTCATGTATTTTCTCGCGGGAAAGAATATAGACGACTATTCAGATATCGGCCATACGATCGAGAAAAAAAAACGGCGTCAAAGACGGCTTGGAAATGACGATCGATGATGATTTTGGCGTGGTCAAGCCCTGGAGGTTATTTACTTGGCTCGCAGGTACTCTTGGAAACGTTCTACTCTTTTTTAATCTTTCTCTAATTGAGTGTTAATTTTTAACAAGTGTAATATCGGTTTTTAGTACATATGATATGTAGAGAGATTGACCTCGCCAAAATTATTATCGATTGTCATTCCTCAGCCGTCTTTGACGCCGTTTTTTTTTTCTATCACGCGGTATTTATATCTACTTTATTTACTGCAAATATAACTCATAATATTGCTTTCTCTATTCTTTCCATTACTAATAAACTGCATAATAGCTGTTTAATTTACAAATTATTTACCAATTTAAAGAAAAATTCCGTCATAATTGTTTATATTTCCTTAATAATACATAAAATAACAAAGTTCATCTCTTTGCAACTGTTCTTAAAATCAAAAAAATATGTTTAACTATTACAAAGTGCAATAACCTTATCTACTTGTAGGTTTTGGCGATAGTTTTGAAATTTAATCTATATACAGAGTACGTTGGAAAGTTAACTCGTAATGTAGAGCTTTCTTTTTTTATTATATTGCAACGTTCAGAATGATAATAGCTATTATGCGGCCTATAACTACTGGTTTGACAAGTTCGCCAAAGAAGTATTGGAAGATTATATTTGAAAAAAAAGTGTTAAGATTCAAGGCCTTCAGACTTTTAAAATCAAACTAAATCATTGGTTATTGATATTCATCCTGTATATCTTGTCGTTCACAAGATACATTACGATGACATTCCCCATATAATTTTACGTAAGAAATGACAGCGATCTTCGTTTCCGAGCCATTTCTGACGCCGATTTTTTTTAGATCACAATGGTATAATATGATCGAAAAAAACGGCGTCAGCGATGGCTCTAACATGAAGATCGCTGTCATTTTATATGTAAAATTAGATGGGGAATGTCGTCGATGTTAATTTCCAAGCAAACTGGACGTTGTTTTTATTTTCGATCATACGGTCCTTTACCAATAATCAATTAAAAATAAACTCATATATCCCAAATCGTTATAATTATCAGTTATTTTTTAAAAAATATTAAAAACTTTAATCACAAAAATATAAGTATTTAAATTTTGAATATGTCAATAATAAACAATATTTCAATTTTATAGTTGATGTTTCATTAAAAGTATATTATTACAACGACATTATCTAATAATAGATTATTTTGTTATTATAAAAATAAACAAATCAAAAGTTACAAGCAACGCTCTATCAAGTTGTTATGATTGGAGCATAAACAATTTGAAAAATCAACCAAAAGAATGTAAGTAGCCCAGACTTAACCCTTAAGGGCTTCAGGGTGGTCTGTTAGACACCTCGGGCTAAAGATTTCTCTATATTTCGTGAACGTCTGCAATTGTTGCAAATTGTCTGCAATGTCTGCAAACGTTGCAATTGTTAAGGGTTAAACGAGAATTCTACAAGAAATAGTGAAGGTAGGGGTACTTAAAAACAGATATACAATATAATTCCTAATAACAATAATATATAAATGTGCATAATAAAATAAAGGTGAAGAGTTAATAACAGCAACAAGATATTAATAATAATGTTTGGATGGACCGAAGACAAGAAAGGTGAAGTATAAACGTGCTTAAAGCCAGAACTCTACAAGAATTATTATATACGTACTCAACAGAACATGAAGGTGCATCACAATGAAGGTCTCGCTCCAGTAACAACGGCCAAACGTGGAAGAACTAAAAATGTTCAACACCGGACCAACGATATAAAGACAAAGGTATCAAGCTGCGAAAAAAAGGCGATATGTAACAATATAACACAACAACATAAACAAAAACCCGTTTTTCTGCTCGGTCTACAGTGAGTAGTACTGACAATAATAGAGAGACGACTAAGCAACAACGGACGGGTACGACCAACGATGGCGCGTTCTGTGATCAAACTACATAACGAGTTACGGTAGAAAGGTATTTAAAATTGTAGGTAGTCGGTCGATAGCAGGGTCGCAATAGTTGTTGGTCTTTCTGGTACTGCTGCCTGTGGTCGGGCGAGTTCGAGGGAACTCGGAATGGAAAACGGCAGAGGTCTGCATGCCGTTGTAGTACCGGTGTTCTAACCTATATACGTAAAAGCGTCTGCAATTCTTTAACGGAAGAAGTGTCAGTGTCAGTAACTTTGAGTACTCAGCCGCAAGAGGCGTTGTTGTTCATCCCCTTCACAATGGTTAGTTTATATTTATTCAGATGTTAAATCAGCTCAGTTAAAATGTTATTCTTTGATTTTTCTCAGTCATAAGTCCTGAGAAATTTATTCGGGTGTTTTGGAGTGTATCCATACCATCCTAGAAAAAGCGGAACGGCGCGGCGTATCGGCGTAACGACTATTGGCTGAAATTTTTCGAAAATTCATCTGTCAAAAATTTCAGCCAATAGAATTGCTGGAAATCGATACAAGACCGTTACGCGGTTCCGCTTTTTCTAGGATGGTGTGGATGTACCCTTAGATCATTGGTGGATTCCTATTCAAGACACACATGGTATAGAACAATTAAAAAGAATATCGAAACGAATATTTTATGATTTTGTCTGGGATAAGCACCGTCTTTTTGCCTACATTATATGTAGGTACGCCTCTGGCCTTATACTCCTTCTGGAGTATTTACCTACAAGGCCCTAAATAGTGGTTGATTCATACATACTCTTAACTAACTTAAGCAAATGCCATGTCACAAACAAAAAGGAAAATGTGTAAATTGCTTATTTTTCAGTAGAAAAAAGTTCTAAGAAGCTATTCTATTGCATTGTATTGATGTCAATTAAAAAAAACAAAAAGTACCAAACAAATAAAAGCCATTAGGCTATAATTCGTTTGTTTATATCTAAATTTACAATAATGCAATAGTGTACATTATCAAAATAACATGTCTGGGTAATTATTTTTATTAAATGTTGATACCTCTACAAATTTACTTTACCAAAGGCACTTATATCGTGTTAGGTAAAAAATGGAATCAAAATGGCAGCAATCGTAGCTCCTACCGTTCTATATTAGAATTAATTAAATAGTTAATTAGTTCTATGCCTGTTCGTTGTTTGGTATACTCACAGGCACGAAAAATGGGCACCTTAAAATTTTGATGTATTTTAAACTTTAATATATTTAGTTCTAGTGAGCCGATTTTGTTTTTTTTTTAAAGCAATTTGTAGCTGAATTATTTGACTTTTTAGTATCTTTTTCTAAATTAAAATTAAAAGTTTCCATCTCTCAATTATAAGAGGTAAAACAAAATGTTGATATTTTGGTGAAAGTTTGAAACACCCTGTGGAATATGTTAACAAAGCAAGGAATTTAAAAAATATATTTTTCAATTTTATCAGATACGTACGTCTTTTCTCTCTAAAATAGCTTTATTTTTATTGGAGATATTTGTTTTGGAATAAAAGAGTAACGATTTACAGCAATTTTAGCAGTGATTTTGAGTTCTCATCGACACACTTAAAAATAGTGTTTATTGTTTTTGTAATGTCACTGTCATTAAAAAGTCATATTATTACTGTTTATTAACGTTCACTCTAGTAGAGATGGTTTTAAGTTCGAGATGGTCGTAAGTATCGGCTGTTGTTGCTTTAACTGATCATGGTAGAGATTAGCTTTTGGACTTCTGCTACCATTAACAGCTGAAAAACCATTAACATATCTGCTAAAGTAACTGCCCGACAGACAGTAATAATATGATCTTTCAAAGACAATGACATTAAATAAATCATAAACACTATTTTATAGGTCTGTTGACTATGACCAAAAGCAAATATATGGTTTTAATGTAAAATGTTAGTGTCTTCTTCAAAAGTGAATATCTCCAAAAAAAAATAAAGCTATTGAGATGAACCAAAAAACAAACCATCGAGTAAAGATGCACCTAGATGATAAAATAATCTTTAAATCCCTTGCTTTGTTAACGCACTCTACGGGGTGTTTCAAACTTTCACCAAAATATCAACATTTTTTCCCTCGTATATAAGAGGTGCTAAAAAGTCAAATAATTTAGCTAAAAATTGCTTAAAAAATCATCAAAATCGATCGGCCAGAACACAATATAATCAAACCCTAAAATACATGAAAATTTTAAGGTGCCCGTTTTTTGTGCCTGTGAGGGTAGTTACTGCTTTCTTTCATCCACAAACAGTTTTATTTATTGATATTTGTAAATTTATTGCCTTTCAGAAGAACGACTTTTATAAAAATTAAAAGTTTTTTCAATTCAATTTTTTTTATTACAGTTGAGGGTTGGAACCTTTGGTGTTACACAGCAAAATAAAAACACTAAATCACCACAATACACCAAAACACTTTTACTTTTACACTGGACGCGCGTTTCGCTAACCATGTTAGCATCATCAGCAGATGATTATATACTAAAATACAATCTACAAGTTGAGCGTTTATATACTCGCTCAGTGGGCACCGAGTGGGCGTGGCGAGATCTAGCCAACCGAGTCAGAGCCCACCGAGCGTAACAGTTAAATTTCCGCCACTAGAGTAGTAGGAACAAAGAACTTGAAGGAATTGGATCGTTGTCTCTGTTCATACTATCTTTATATTTATTAATTCTGATGCTTTCATATGCATCTAATTGCCTGTAATTTGAGACTTGTTTAATTATTTTTAAATTATTAAGATCTATACAATGTTCTTTATCAACAATATGTTCGGCAACGCCAGATTTATCCGGTCTACCATATCTTATCTGAGCTAAATGTTCTTTAAATCTAGTTAATATTAATCTTCCAGTTTGCCTAACAGATTTCTGATTACAATCTTTACAAGAAATTTCATAAATACCCGACCTTTCCAGTGGAGGTGTTTTATCCTTTGGATTACCTAATAATTGTTGTAATTTATTATTAGCACTATACACAAGTTTATAATTGACATTCTTAAAAATTCCTTTTAGACCGCGGGATAACTCTCTATCAAACGGTATTGAAAAATATTTTGACGTATCTTTCTCCACTTGAAAAGTCGAATTTTCAGAAATCATTAACCTATACCTACGTTTTCTAATTATTTTATCAACTAGTGAAGGAGAATATCCATTACACTCAGCTACATTCCTAATGTAATCTCTTTCTATTTCATATCTTTAGCTGGAACGTGGAAAACTAAGTAATCTATGAACTAAGAAATTTAAACTAGCCATTTTATGTTCAACACTATGATATGATTTATTAGGAATATATCTGCGTGTAGTGGTATTTTTCCTATAGATATCAAATTCCAGGCAATTATTATTATTTCTAATAACTATTACATCTAGAAACATGGTTAGCGGAACGCGCCTCCAGTGTAAACGTAAAAGTGTTTTGGTGTAATGTGGTGATTTAGTGTTTTTATTTTGCAATTTTTTTAATAAAAAACTACCAATCTTTATTGCAGGGTTTATTTTTTAACAATATATACAAATTTAGATTAGTTAATAATTTTTCTTATACTGCTGGTTTTTCATCAGCTGTTACATGTGTGGCTTCTGATACCACAGATGTTGTGTCGTCCCGTTGTTGTTCTCCAGCGCACGCCAGTGACGGGAATTTCTTGTGGAGTGCTTGCCGATACTTCGGATGACTGTAAAAGTTAATAAAAATAATATTACGTATTAATTAATTGATACTTGTTGATTTTGTTTCAATATTATATTCTCTGTCCAGTATCCCAGTATCATTTGTTTCACCTCTGCGTTTATTTGTAACTCTGACCAATCCAATTTAGATAATAAAAGTCTAAAAGAATCCAAAATATACTTGTCCTATGTACAGGGTGTCCCACTAAGAATAGCTCTCGGCTGTATCTCGGAAACTATTAGCTGTAGAGCTTACGGAAAAAAATATTTATAAGTAAAAGGAGCTATGAGAAATTGCTGAAAATCATTTTTAAGATTGTAAAACGGCCGCTAGGGGGCGCAACTGCTATGGAAAATAAGAAAATAGAGTTTTTACAGAATTTTGCCTAGATAATGGGTACTATAAATAATAACTTCATAATTTTCAGTAAATTTTGGATTTTCTTTGTTAGAACCATTATCTTTATTTAAATATTAATAACTCCGGACTGGATGATCAGAATCCAACAAACGAGGGCTCGTTTAAAAGAGCGTTTCTTACTCTATATTATACCATGAAAATAATAATAATAAAGTTTTGAACGTAGACGGTAGGGTGCGGTTTCTTACTATTTAACAAACATAGCGCGTTTTTTCAAAAAAATTAAATACGATGGTATATGTAATTTTAGCTGATAGTAAAGAATAGTAAAAGCTAAAAAAGTCAGCGAAAACCGCATCTTGATATATTCTTTCAAACCGAAGATATACTGATACCGTGTTGATACCGCTACTGATAAGACCTATGGCCTTTTTTGGTATTTATTATAATTTTGCTAATATCTTCGGTTTGAAAGAAGATATCAAGATACGGTTTTCGCTGACTTTTTAAGCTTTTACTACTCTTTACTATCAGCTAAAATTACATATACTATTGCATTTAATTTTTTTGAAAAATCGCGCAATGTTTGTTAAATTGTAAGACAACGCCCCCAGCGTCTACGTTCAAAAGTTTATTATTATTGTTTATATGGTACAATATAGAGTAAGAAACGCTCTTTTAAACGAGCCTCCGCTTGTTGGATTCCGATCATCCAGGCCAGAGTTATTAATATTTAAATAAAAACAGATGTAACCTTCTCCCACCACTTTATTTTGGTAGATAGGGGAAAATGGCTCCAACAACAAATATTCAAAAGATATCAAGATACGGTTTTCGCTGACTTTTTAAGCTTTTACTACTCTTTACTATCAGCTAAAATTACATATACTATTGCATTTAATTTTTTTGAAAAATCGCGCAATGTTTGTTAAATTGTAAGACAACGCCCCCCAGCGTCTACGTTCAAAAGTTTATTATTATTGTTTATATGGTACAATATAGAGTAAGAAACGCTCTTTTAAACGAGCCTCCGCTTGTTGGATTCCGATCATCCAGGCCAGAGTTATTAATATTTAAATAAAAACAGATGTAACCTTCTCCCACCACTTTATTTTGGTAGATAGGGGAAAATGGCTCCAACAAAAAATATTCAAAATTTACTGTAGATTATGAGGCTATTACTTATAGTACACATTATCTAGGAAAAATTGTGTAAAATCTCCATTTTCTTATTTTTTGTTGTAGTTGCGCCCCCTAGCGATCGTTCTACAAACTTGAAAATAATTTCCAGCAATTTCTCATAGCCTCTTTAGTTACAAATATTTTTTTCAGCAGCCCCTACGACTAATACTTTCCGAGATACAGCCGAGAGCTATTCTTAGTGGGACACCCTGTACAGGGTGGGTCAAATTCGACGCTTTTAAATGAAAACACCCTTTTCTATAGGAGATAGACAAAAACTAATACGGGTGTCTGGAGCTCAATTTTTGTCATAAACATGATGGTGAAAACCACATATCGATATCTGTTACCGTTTCGGAGTTACGGGGTGTTTTTCAAAAATATGCATTTTTAACAAATCGCTGTAACTTTTTTGCTATGGAAAATTTTGTATTTTTATGAAAACATTTCCAAAGCACCATTTTACGTAGAATTTAATGGTTTAAGTATAATTTTTTTAAAATTAATAATTTAAGAATTAGCAACAAAAAATTTGATTTTTTATATGAGACACCCTGTATATTTTTAATTAACTGAAAAGCATTTAAAATTGCCTTTCCAAAAATATAGCACACTTGATATTTTGTTATAATCCCCTTCGAAATACAGAATTTTTAAAAGTTCGCCACTTTTAACTAATAGGCTTTGGACCCCTTATTGATGATATGCCCTTAATGGAACTCGAAAATATATTTTTCCAGCAATACGACTCACCGCCTCTGAACGCTGAAGTTATCAGCAAATTTTTGCAGCCAATTTCAAGAATAATTGGATAGCTAAACAAGATCCCAGCCGTTGGCCGTCGAGGCCGCCTGACTTAGTGCCCATGGATCTAATCATATGGATATATTTGCGGAAGAATAAAGGTTCCTTATTCTTCTGTATATCTAGACAAGAATTAAAAATACTTAGCAGTTATGAGAGGGTATCTTTCACCTCCACTGAGTTAATGAATTCCGCGAGAAATTTTCAAAAACTGCCCCGTCTGTCCATAACAGAAGAGGGTCGATATGTCGAACACCTGTAGCAAAATCTGATGTCTTGGTTTGCTATTTATTTTTATTGTTATTAGATATAGTTTAAATGTGTTCAAATGTTGGTTAAATATATTTTAAATTGTTAAAAAATTCTGCATCTCTTATAGCAAATATTATTTTCGTTTTAATTGATGCTCACAGCTAGAATTTTTTTGCATTACAGCCGGTGCCGTTCAAAGCCTACTTATTTAAAGCGGGCGAATTCTTATATACTCTATATCTCGAAGAGGAATCAAGCAAAATATCAAGTGTGTTATATTTTTGGAAAGGTAATTTTAAATTCTTTTCAATAAATTAAAAATATATAGGGTGTCCCATATAAAAAATCAAATTTTCTGTTGATAATTCTTAAAATGTTAATTTTAAAAAAAATTATACTTAAACCATTAAATTCTACGTAAGAAGTTGCTTTGGAAATGTTTTCATAAAAATACAAAATTTTCCATAGCAAAAAAGTTACACCGATTTGTTAAAAATGCATATTTTTGAAAAACACCCCGTAACTCCGAAACGGTAACAGATATCGATATGTGGTTTTCACCATCATGTTTTTGACGAAAATTGAGCTCCAGACACCGATATTAGTTTTTGTCTATCTCCTATAGAAAACTGTGTTTCCATTTAAAAGCGTCGAATTTGACCCACCCTGTACAATATTAGATTCTATTAGAATGTCTTAGATTGAGCTGAAATGTTAATAGTTTTGGAGGAAAGGCAGCGGTAGTACCGCTTAGAAAACATTAGGAGTTTGTAAGCACTTGAAAAAAATGTTCAAAAAAATTGCAGTTTTTTTTTCTAACAATAATTTTTCTACTAAAACTGAAATACTTGCCAATATCGAACAAAGCTCATGTCAAATATTGTAATATTCTATTGAGATGAAAATTTCGCAAATCTGAAAACTAAACAAAAACACGGCAAATTATTGATTTCTAATTTTTTAAACAAACAACTTTAGATCATAACAAAGATTGTTAAATGACATATGTTTGTTTAAAAATTATATTGATATTTTTATCAATAATAAAATTTCATATTTTGAACCTTTAGACGCTAATTTTAGTAAAATATCTATAGCTTCAATACTAATAAATTACAATAGTTGTTATAAACATATATGTATGTAAAGAAAAAAAAATTAACATTTTACAATTATTATTGCTTATTTGTTGGGGACAGTGTCCATAAAATAGTGCAGAAAGGTAGCAGTATTTAAAATGAATGAATAAATATAATTTAAACTATTTTGTTTGTTTAGAAATTAGAGTAATTTAAAGTCATACGCTATTTATTGTTTATTAATTTTATCAGTGGAATGTGCATTTTTTTACCAGAAATATATTTCTAGTATATTATAGTAAAATATACTAGTTGGACTAACATTGGAACGTTCTTCAATGTTTTTTTTTTCTAGATTCTCTAGATATTTTTTAGTATTACCTTATTCCATACACTATAGGATTATAAACGGCATTGGCTTTAGCAAATAAGCTGCACCATATCGTTGCCAGCGGTGTGATTTTGGAATTGCCCAAAATTCCCGAAAGATTAGTGACCAAATATGGAGTCCACGCCATGAACCATAGGGAAATGGTCATAAGGGCGATTTTGGCCAGTTTGCATTCGGCACTAGTTTGCGATGCCTCCGAAGATCTTAAAGAGGCAACGTTCATTTTCTTGGCTTGTTCCCTCATTGATTTTTCGTGAGCTGCTACAGCCTATATTAAGAAGAAAATAACTGTAATTGTTAAGAATACTTTTTGGAAGACACTTGCTCTACCTGAACAATGTAGAAGTACGAATAGATTATGATGAACAATGGCAAGAAGTAGACGAAGAATCCGTACGCGTAGATATAGCTAACGCTCAGTATATCTCTGGAGAGATAGTCAGTGCCGCACGCAGTCATGTTACCTTCAGGAACGTATCTAAAGAAAATTGGTAAAAAAAATTATTTTAGGTCGCTTTGTATTGCTGGAACTAGTGATGAGCAAGACGTACGCAAGACCAGGACTGTTAAGACTTGGCTTTGCGGTCTTGGTATTGCACAAAAAGTAAGATCAAGTCTTAGTTGTGCATTTGCCCATCACTAGTTGGAATACTGTAATATTTAAACGGGGTTGGTTACTACCTATTCCACCCGAACATGGGCGCAATGGTCCACCCAACCGACATGGCCCAAATTAGCAAAACTCGCAACATGGCCGTCTTGTGTGTTAGAGGCTTAGCGCTGAGTCCTTTGACGATGACGTTATATCTGTCCAAGGCGATAAATGTCATTGACCAGATGGAGCCACAGCCGAACAGCGAACCAAACATGCCGTAGATTTCGCAGAAAAGAGGACCTAAAATCGTTAATTATCTTTTTAAAATCCTTCAGTCAAACCTCTACAATATTTAAAGAATGCATAATTTGCAAGAATACGATGGCTGTTTTATTTTTTTCTCAATTCTACATGTACCAGAAAAATCACCAGAAAAAGCCGCCCAAGTAATCGCTTTAATCGAAAATGGGCTTAAACAGAGAGCTGAAGCTCGGCAACTACATATGACACGCGGAGCGGTTCGAAGAGTGTGTGAACGATATGAGCAGACTCGATTCTTTCGTAGTCAAAGAGATATACAACGGATCGTGATGACCGCTTTATTGTGTCAACAATGTTAAGAAATAGGCGTCTTAATGCTATTCAGGTGCAACAACAGCTCCGTGAAACACGAGGAGTGACTATTAGTCAGTGGACAGTAAGAAGGAAAGTAACATGACCCCCAAAACACCCGCAATTGGTCCAAGACTTACCCCAGGTCAATGTCAAGCACGCCTGCGTTTTGCAATGGAACATCTGAATTGGACACTAGAACAATGGGAATCTGTTTTATTCTCAGATGAGACCAGGATATGCCTCTATGGTAGCGACCAAAGAAGAAAAGTGTACCGGAATCCAGGTGAGCGATTCGCAGAATGCTGCATTGGGGAGCGGATTGCTTATGGAGGTGGTTCTTGCATGATCTGGGATGCAATTTCTATAACTGCGCGAACCGACCCAGTTTTCATCCGTTGGGGCGACCGTCCGTACGGGAGAGGATGTTTAACTGGTGCTAGGTATATTGAGGAGATTTTAGCAGTTTATGTGGTACCTTACGTCGACTACATTAGAAAAGAATTCACATTTATGCATGATAATGCGAGGGCATACACATCAAGAATCGTACACGATTACATTTCAGAAGTCGGATTTCGGGTTATGGAATGGCCAGCATGCACTCCAGACTTAAACCCGATAGAACATTAATGGGATGAGCTAAAACGAAGAATTCGTACTAGAGGAAGAGCCCCAACTTCTATCCCAGAGCTCATTGTTGCAGTAGAGGAAGAGTGGCTTAACATCCCGCAAGAAACAATATCAAATTTGATCGAATCTATGCCAAATCGTATGAGAGATGTTGTTAGAGCAAGAAGGGGTCATACCCATTATTGAAAATTTAGTTTAGTTAATTGTCCATAAATAAATAATAACATACCTCTTAGTAACAAAAAACGATAATTTGTTTCATCCATTAATTCAAAAATTTTAATCCAAAGGAACCAAAATACAAATTAATATCTCTAAACTCTTTTAAAAGAATATGAAATTGTCTTTCAAACAGCATGTATTTTTTCTTAATCTGACAAATAGATTATAAAAAATATATAGTTAATATGTATCATCATCATCACATCATCACTTATAGCCTAAGAGCTGACGACATATTTAGAGAACATATTTTAGGCAAGCTAGAATAACTAAAAATGTATAGTTTATTAACTTGTGAACCCAGAATCCTAAGTCTGGCTGGGGGGTTGGGGGTATTTCGCTACTGCGCAACCCATAACATTTGCAAAAAAATAAATCCAAAAAACATTCTTTAGGCAACTTGAAATTTGTTTATTCTTAAATTTTAGCATCTATTTAACCTAGAAATAAGTATGCCAGACTTTTTTTTCTGGTTTAAAGTGTAACCCGACCATTCCAAATATGTTTAATTATTATACCTGGAAACATACTTCAGGCATTCTAAAATTTTTACATCGTGTTTATTAGATGATATTAAAAAATATGTGTTAATTGCCAGATGAATTCAATGGGATTTAATACTTGCCAGACGCGAATAAAGATTTTAAATGAGCGCGACAAAAAAGTCTTATGAGAAAGATAGTTTATTGAGACCCGTCGGCAGCCGATGCGGCTGACGTAACAGTATTTTGGAGTACTTCAGATTTTCATAAAAACAATTTTTTTTCGGTTTCATTTCAATTATTTGCAGGCTTTTAATTCAGAGATTATTTTCTTGGAATTAAGTTACCATGTACAAATATGTATTTATAAATTAAATATTGACGTGCATCGTGTAAATAGTTTAGAATAATAACTGCAAATAAATATTTTAGTAACTTCTAATTTCGCTACTAACTACTAAATCACAATGGATAAAAACATTTAAGTTGAGTAGTTTGTAAAAAAGTTACTAGTGACAAAAATTATTGTTTTTGATGAAGGCAGACTACAAAAATGCAAAGAATTTTTAAAAGTGCGCCAACAACATGGTTTAAAAAATTTAAAAAAGTGGTTTTACCAGAAAGCGTAGTTCCGACAAAAGGGTACCATGTACAGTGCTAAAATAATAAGTATTCTGGAATTTTATTAAAGTACCATTGTTAATATTTCTAAATAGATTCAAAAGTAAGTAAAAGTGCTTTACTTTTATGCTTACGCGTTAAAATGACTTTTTTATGTTGTCAATCAGGTCGCAAAAATTAATAGTAATATAATATGTCACAAAAATATAATAATAATTATACTTTTGTGACGTTTGAAAAAAATATATTTTATATTATGCTAATTTTTAAATAATTATTCGTCTTTATTCTTTCAGATACAAAATACTTAAATTTAAAAGTCTTCTTATTGAAAGGATTTCAATCATACATTTTTATTTAAAAATGTTTCTTTTTATTTATTCAATATTAGTTAGTTTTTTTTAAGTTTTTACGACTCCAAAATGCTGTTACGTCAGCCGCATCGGCTGCCGAGGGGTCTCAATAAACTATCTTTCTCGCGCTTATAGATACTCATAAGACTTTCTTATCGCCCTCATTTAAAATCTTTATTCGCGTCTGGCAAGTATTAAATCCCATTGAATTCGTCTGGCAATTAACACATATTTTTTAATATCATCTAATAAACACGCTGTAAAAATTTTAGAATGCCTAAAGTATGTTTTCCAGGTATAATAATTAAACATATTTGGAATGGTCGGGTTACACTTTAAACCCGAAAAAAAAGTCTGGCATACTTATTTCTAGGTTAAATAGATGCTAAAATTTAAGAATAAACAAATTTCAAGTTGCCTAAAGAATGTTTTTTGGATTTATTTTTTTGCAAATGTTATGGGTTGCGCAGTAGCGAAATACCCCCAACCCCACAGCCAGACTTAGGATTCTGGGTTCACCAGTTAATAAACTATACATTTTTAGTTATTCTAGCTTGCCTAAAATATGTTCTCTAAATATGTCGTCATCAGCTCTTAGACTAATAGACCTTAAGCGTGTTTTATTAAAATACTAATATTTCAACGATGTCTCACACGGAACCAATCACAGGCTCAGTACTATTTATATTTGTTATGCTCACCTAGTACCCAAGTCTCGTTATAACAATTAATAACCATAGGAGGAGACATGGTAAACATCATGAGAAAATCGGACAGTGCCAGATTTATAACCAACAAGTTCGATGGGGTCCTCAGAGCTTTGGTACTGCTAAATATATAAATCACCTAAAATAATCGGTGATTATATAACTTATTTTTTTTAATTTTTTGTTTGTAGATTTAAAATCTCACCATGCCATTTCCTGCAATTGATATTACTCCTAAAACACCAATGACGAACCCCAGAATACCGTGCCATAAGGGGTTCATGGGTGGGTACTGGTACCAATAAGCATCGACCATGTGGAGCATTTCAGGTGGAACCTTGTCTACTACAGTTATATTTCCTAAGAAAGTTAAATATCGTCAGTGAAACGTGATAACCTGCTAACTCCATTTTTTACGTTAATAAGTTTTTTATACCATTAGAAAGAGAAAAAAATACTCTATAAGTAGGGAAAGCAAATACATTTTTTCCCATTAAAGAAAATTTGCTATTTTAACTCAATAATATCTGCTAACTCCTAGTGTGTTTGTTACTCGTAAAAAAAATTGGATTTTTTTTTAATTTTTAGTTTAAAAACATACTTTGTTTATAATATGGCAACATAGGTAGCAGATTAATTTTACAAGAAAGAAAATCCGATGATTCTCAAAATTATAGCAAAAAATTGGAAATTTTAAAAGTGAAATAACTCGGTTGTTTTGGATTTATTTGAAAAAACGGTACATAGAAAATATTATGTTTCTTTTATGGAGATTTACCAGCCCTGAAAATATTTGCACTTATATAAGACTCACCCTGTATAGAAATCAGGGAACTACCCTAATGCAAGATAAACCAATGCAATGCAATTGCCATAATGCAATGCAAAAGTAAATATTGTTAAGAATAAATAATGAACTATAAAGGGGGCCCGTAGGCTGGGGCCCCCGTAATAGTTTTATATATAATATGGCCAGTCCGACCCTGCGTCGATGCGTTCTGTAAATACAGGGTATCCGTAAATGGTAACGGGAAAAATGAATTCTCTATATACGAGCAATTCATCGGCGTGCTATAAATAGTTTAAAAATCTCGGTTTAAATAACTATTACTTACTTCAAAATAAAACACTAAATCACCACAATACACCAAAACATTTTTACTTTTACACTGGACGCGCGTTTCGCTAACCATGTTAGCATCATCAGCAGATGATTATAAACTTATTATAGTTAACTTATTAGTTTATAATCATCTGCCGATGATGCTAACATGGTTAGCGAAACGCGCGTCCAATGTAAAAGTAAAAGTGTTTTGGTGTATTGTGGTGATTTAGTGTTTTATTTTGCTGTGTAACACCAATGGTTCCAACCCTCAACAGTAATCATTACTTACTTGTACAAGAATTGCCATAATACCTAATCAGTTTTATTTTTTCCAACGTTTTTCCACGTAAATGATATACATACATAAATTTTATAAAAATTAAAGAAATAAGGAGAAAAGTAATAAAAATTTAATACAATCACGCACTGTTTTCCAAGCGCGGTCTACTACCGTTATATATCTTCTAAGAATTATAAGTTTAATTTTTAAATTATTTTCATATTCATTAAGTTCAAAATCCCGCTACTTCAGTTCTTTAAAAAATGCATTAAAAATTTATTTGTTTTTGGACTTGTATGTTTTGCTTCTAGACCGACGATATTATAAATATATGGTTATGAGTATCATATTTTTTAAATTTAATTGATTGTTTCTAAATATGTTTGGGTAATATTCAATTCCATTTTCAAAATTTCAATAAATAAAGGTTGCTATCTCCAGAAGTATATTTTTATTTCTGATTTCTGCAAGACGAATATCTGCTATCTCCCTATTTTGTCTGAAAAAAATGATGTAATACGAAATATTGAGTTTTATTGTTCCCCAGCAAATAAAATTCTTTTTTTTTTATCATATTAACGCATGAAAATACTTCCTACATGTGTACATATTTTTTTGTACCGTTTTTTTTGCTCTCCTGTAAAATTAGGAATAATGGAGTTAGCAGTTTATCACATTTCACCGACGATATATTATTTTTGTTCACCTTTGAAGAGCTGTAATATAATATGATTATTATTATATGGGGAATGTCATCGATCGTCATTTACAAGCCAACAGCCAACTGGACGGCGTTTTTTTTCATATATCATATCACACGGTATCATACGGTATGTTTATAGGTACTTTTTGTTTTAGATCTATTGGTAGAATCACTTTCTAAATATCATTATACTATTCTTTTACACTCTGTATCATTCAATTTTAAAAAAATATGTATAACAATTTATTTACATTCACCCTTCAATTCTTAATGTCTTATTCTCTAATAATGTCTATTCTCTTATGTCACAGTGTAGTAAAATAATGTTTCTTTACCGGGTCCCTTTCAAAAGTTGCTTTTTTATAAAAGACAACTCTTTTTATTTATACTTAAGACAGATTTTTATATATTTTTATTAAACATTTTTAACAGCAGCATTTCTTTTTAAACTCTTTTAGGCGGCAGCCAAGCAGCAGAATAAAAAAAGATAATGCTCATTAACACTAGCAAATAAATTGTTAGTTTTTCGCATTTTCGAAACCGGTTTCGATTATTTGTCGTGTTACATGCATGCGTAGTGAGTCTGTTGTCTTTCAAGTGAATCCCCGACTCCGTTTGTAGCCCGAAACATGAACAAAAGAAATTTATCTCGAATATACTGAAGAGTACCTTAAAATTAACCAGCCCTTAGCTTATGCCTTCGATATATTAATAGTGGAAGAAAGAAACGCTTACTCAGCATATAAAAGACCATACCATCACGTGGTATACTGATGCTTCCAAAACCAAAGCAGGGACAGGGATAGGAGTATTTGGGCCGAAAACTGAATACTCCGAACCAATGGGCACCTACCCCAGTATCCTTCAGGCAGAAATTTGCGCTATCGAAAGATGCATTAGGTCTTGAGTTGGACTTGAGCCAAACTACCATACAACAAGAGGCTTATTACAAATTCGAAATATATACAGGGTGGCTCGTGGTGAATGGTCGACTAAACTTACATAGAAAATGATGAAGAAGATTTTTTACTGAATCAATTAGCAACAATGCTGAAAAAAAATTCAAAAGTAAAAAATAGAAGTTCTTTTAATACCTACCACCAAATCCTACAGCCCTTTGTGCTGCCCAAGCAGCGAAACTAGGTTCTCCCATCACAGACATTTTGATATCTAAAGAAAAAATTAAAAAAAAATATATTATTCTACTTATTAGATCTATAAATGTTCTTTATCAACAATATGTTCGGCAACGCAAGATTTATCCGGTCTACCATATCTTATCTGAGCTAAATGTTCTTTAAATCTAGTTAATATTGATCTTCTAGTTTGCCCAACATATTTCTGATTACAATCTTTACAAGAAATTTCATAAATACCTGACCTTTCCTGGAGGTGTTTTATCCTTTGGATTACCTAATAATTGTTGTAATTTATTATTAGCACTATACACAAGTTTATAATTGACATTCTTAAAAATTCCTTTTAGACCACGGGATAACTCTATATCAAACGGTATTGAAAAATATTAGACGTATCTTCCTCCGCTTGAAAAGTCGAATTTTCAGAAATCATTAACCTATACCTACGTTTTCTAATTAATTTATCAACTAGTGAAGGAGAATATCCATTACACTCAGCTACATTCCTAATGTAATCTCTTTCTATTTCATATCTTTCGTTGGAAAGTGGGAAACTAAGTAACCTATGAACTAAGAAATTTAAACTAGACATTTTATGTTCAACACTATGATGTGATTCATTAGGAATATATCTGCGTGTGGTGGTATTTTTCCTATAAATATCAAATTCCAGGCAATTATTAGTATTTCTAATAACTAATACATCTAGAAATGGTAATCTGTCGTTGTTCTCAATTTCGTGCGTAAATTTAATGGAAGGAAAACGATTATTTAACTTAGAAATAAAATTATCTATGGTGTCTGCATGTGTGTCAAAAACAGCAAAAATATCATCCACATACCTAAACAATACTCTTGGAAAATACTCAAACTGATTGTTAGCCTCCACTTCAAACCTGCTCATGAATAAATTAGCCAAAAATGAAGACAATGGATTACCCATTGCTGTACCTTCCCGCTGTTCAAAAAAGTTGTTATTAAATTGAAAACAATTTTGATTCATACATAACGATGTAAGCTCAATATATTCAATCATAGTTTTGTTGTCGAGACCATTTGCGTTCAGTAATTCCTTCAAGTAGCCTAAAGTATGTGGAATTGGAACACTTGGGAACAACGAAGATACATCAAAGGAGACCAAAATTTCACCTTCATGCAATGTTATATCTTTAATTTTGTTAATGAATTTAATATTATTTTTAACTGAGAAAGAAGGTTCATGATCAGGTAAATTTTCGAACTCCCGTGATAACCATTTTGCCAAATTATATTTGTTATTATAATTTGTATTGTGGTGATTTTGTGTTTTATTTTGCTGTTGTTTAGCAATTTGTAGCTGAATTATTTGACTTATTACACGAGGAAAACAAAATTTTTGTAAAAGTTTGAAAAAAAAAAAGTTTGTGGTCTCGAAACAGCCTTTTTGACGTAAGATTATATCTTCTTACAATTTTAATGACAACTAAATTTATTTTAGTAAATAATTGTTAAACATATTTCACAACTCAATTAAAAGATAACAATTAAAAAAAAAATTATAGTATATTATTTTCAGCGCACTAGACTTATTTTAATATCTGTATGTACAGGGTGGTCAAGTTTCTAGTAGCAGGATATTACCAATACATATTAGAAAAAAATAATGGAGATATATAATTTTTTTTAAATATTTTTTTTTCGTAAGTGTATACTAAAAAAATGGCAGGTACTTACCTACGTGTGTTTGTGGTTGTACTCCAAATATTTAAACGTTGCTTTTTTCTTGATTTTTTTGTATTTTTTCATTTAATTTAAACACCTGAAGGACGCTGTCGACGCGACTCAACGTGGAATCTTAGAAAATTCCCTTTTATATAATCCCTTCAAATTAGATTAAGGGAATACTTTTTAAGAAAGATATTTTCTAAGGTATCCCTATACGTCTTAAATCAATTACTAAAGGACCCTAAAAAAGTAACACGCAGTTAGGGGATGTAAGTTTAACAATATTAATTTTTTACTTACCTATAATTCGATTTTTAAGTATAATACATACCAGTAGCGTAGTATTATGTATTTTAACTTTGATTGGAAGACAGGAATATTCAAAGCATCATTGAAGACAAAGTCACCAGTTTTGATAAAATTGCTATCATTTACTATATGAAAGACGTAGAATACAAAAAAGTATGCCGTTGTGAACTGACAAGGACAGTATAAAGATGTAAACAAAGTTTTAACATCTTCAAAAATCGCTCATACACAAGGGCTCACAAAATTGATTTTATCACAAAACAAAAGTTATCTAGCCCTAATATTTTTATGTTTTCTCAATATACAAAAAATTGTCTACAAACTCTGAAATTTTCAGTACTAGTCATTTTCTTCTACTATTTTTCTAAAAGACTTGAAAACACTTAAAAAAGACCATTTTTCCAAACAAATAGTGATGAAAATTGGCGATTTTGATAAAACTGCAGCTATTTACTAATTTAAAGTGCGTAGAATACGAAAATGTACGCAGTTGTAGGCTTACGAGTATGCTATCAGGTGTGGGTACAGTTTTAACCTTCTTCAAAAATAGCTCATAAACAAGGGTTCACAAAATCGATTTAATGATAAAACAAATATAGTAAAGTCCTAATAGTGTTATGTTTTCTGAAAGTATATAAAATTTCCTACAAACACTGAAATTTTCGCTAGGTGCACTATTTTTCTAAGAGCCTTAAAAATAGGTAAAAAAGTTCAAAATCCTTAAAATCATTACTCGGTTTATTCTAAGAAATATCCCCCTTGATACGCCAATGATAATCACACGTGCCGGTCCTTTCACATGATCTCTGGTTTTAAATATATTTCCATTTGACTTAAACCCTTTAAATCCTATTTGAAAAAAAAGAAAGGATACCTTTGACGTCAAAGGTTTTATAAATACAAGTTTTCCAACAACTTTTTGTTGTAATAAGTTCATTAGGACAATGTTTCTACAAGAAAATCACCATCAATTATAAATTCAGAGTTTAAAGTAATACGTTTTCTCTAAAATCTCTATATTTTTGTATTTAAACAACTAACACGCATTTACCATCTATTTAAATTGTTGTTATGCCCGTGTGTTTTGTAAAATAAAAACAGTATCATGCACTGTTTATTTACTTTAAAATAATTACAACATGCCATTATGAGCAAAATAATTAATACAATATTTTAATTTAACAAGGTTACTTACTGGCGTTATTGTTGCACACATTTTTATGCTATTGTTAATTAAAAACATAATAATTCGTGAGTTAGAAAATATAACTACACCAAAAACTATTGCAAGCATGTTGTCCAAAGTGCCGAATATAATCTGTAATGGCTTGTGTTCACAATTACGCCCTTATGGGGCTTACAATAATTTATTATTTAACCTGAGTCAATCAAACAGGGCGTCCATATAGACAGCTACACCGTAATGGACTTCTACAAATTTAATGTCCATTAGGCGGCCTCTTTACTTTTAGTACTTATAATAACTTTACCTTTGATATTATATTTAATTTTTAGCTGATATACACTATACAGGGTGGTGCACCTCATTCGCCTCGGTTGATTATACGATTATACCTATTAGTAAATTTAAGTAAACAGGGTCGGTTATAGAGTTGTGTCACATCAAACTCTTTTTTAAATGAAACCTCCTGTATATTATTGCATATTTCAATTCTTCCTTCCATTTAAACAATAATCGTAATACACAATGTATAGTGTGTGAAACGAATAACTTTGAATTTGACAGTTCCCGCGGGCTTTTCTAGTGTTAATTTTATTAGGTTAGCAACTTGCGGCCATGCTGACGCAATGCCGTCTCTAATAGAACAGCCTCGAAGCGAGATTTATGACATCACGCTAGTTAAATACTACGGATTAATAAATATGTTGTAGAATACATGGAAAACATAATAATTCCTCGTATTTTTGGTTTGTATTTTTAAAATAATATAGTTTACATGAAATATACATAATATCCAGTTAATAAATACAATATATATACCTCAAAATAAAAACACTAAATCACCACAATACACCAAAACACTTTTACTTTTACACTGGACGCGCGTTTCGCTAACCATGTTAGCATCATCAGCAGATGATTATAAACTCACAGTTCAGTTTATAATCATCTGCTGATGATGCTAACATGGTTAGAGAAACGCGCGTCTAGTGTAAAAGTAAAAGTGTTTTGGTGTATTGTGGTGATTTAGTGTTTTTATTTTGCTGTGTAACACCAAAGGTTCCAACCCTCAACTGTAATATATATACCTATTTATAGTAATAAATAACTTTCGCAAATAAACCAAATAAACCATGAACCATACAAATGCAGCAAATGTTTTATAATATACAAATAATGAATAGGTACATAAAATAATGGGTAAAATGTAAAATATATTTTAAATTTTGGGGTTTGAAAATCGATCTAATTTAACAAACAACATTCAATATCTACTACTTACTATGGCTGAAATCGTATTCCATAGTCAATGTAGATAGTTTTAGTGTTAAGAATAATAATTTAAAAAAATACGTGGTCATCTTTTGACAAGTTTATATTAGTTTATTAATTGCAGTAAACATTATGTGGTGTGAATATTTTATATGTAATTTTTTGGATTATATTTGACACTATTTTTTTCATATGACACAACACTGATGAAGGCTATGATGTTAGCCAAAACGTTTTTTTTAACCAAAAAAAATAATGAAAAAACAAATGAAAACTTAATCAGCGTTTTTCCCGAACCTAAATCCCAAGAAAATAAAAAAAATTAGAATAATTTTACATATAAAATGACAGCGATCTTTATTTCATAGCCATCGCTGCAGCCTTTTTTCTGTGATATTGTATTATTTGCAAATATAATTTTTCGAACATTGATACTTGCAAAATATACATATACATTTTGTGAATTCAAATAATAATACATCCCTATTAGTAGATATTGAATGTTTTTTGTTAAATTAGATCGATTTTCAAACCCCAAAATTTAAAATATATTTTACATTTTACCCATTATCGTATGTACCTATTCATTATTTGTATATTGTAAAACATTTGCTGCATTTGTATGGTTCATAATTTATTTGCCAAAGTTATTTATTACTATAAATAGGTATACATATTGTATTTATTAACTGTATATTATGTATATTTCATGTAAACTATATCATTTTTAAAATACAAACCAAAAATACGAGGAATTATTATGTTTTCCATGTATTCTACAACATATTTATTAATCCGTAGTATCTAACTAGCGTGACGTCATAAATCTCGCTCCGAGGCTGTTCTATTAGAGACGGCATTGGTCTGATATTTAGAAATGTCAAAAGCTGATGACATTTTACTTTTGACAATTGTGTTGATTTTTGTAAGAAGAGGAAGAACTGTCACTTGTTTTATTATTTTCCTTTTCTATTTCACAAAAGTAAAAAGAGTTACCTATCTGATTCGTTCAGGCACCCAATTTAAAGAATATCAGTAACTTTTTTGACAGAGGAATTTTATATTTACCATGTTGGTAAAAAATAACTGTCAAAATTCAAAGTTATTCATTTTATAGACTATACAGCTGGTTCCAATAAAATTGAATACGATTTAAAACATATTTTTATTATTTCGGGCAGTATATTCTATGATACCAGTCCCCCATTTCTCTACTCATGTCATGCTGACGTTCTGAAAAATTTATTTGCGACTTTGTCAAAAGCAAAGTTGTTTTATACAATGTCACAATAACCTTAACATGTCAAAATACTTGACACATAAATATACACTGCCCAAATATTCTAAAAAAATGTGTAAAGAGTCGTATTCATTTTTTTTTGGAACCAGCAAATGAAACTGAACATATCGAAATTAATTAAATCAAATTGTTTAAGTGACATTTTCGAAAGTCAATAACTCGGATGCGGTTGGCTGGCGGTTGGAATGAGGTACATTGTGTGTATTTCGATTTTTGCTTAGAATTGAAGGAAGAACCGAAATATGCAATAATATACAGGGGGTTCCATTTAAAAACATGAAACTTTGATATTTATAAATGATATTTATAAACCCTATAACTTTTATATTTAACTTTTTACGGTACCTCCTATATTTTACCTAATAATCGACCATTTCTATACATAAAAGCGACCCTGTATATTATGCAGTGTACTTCTAGTTAAAAAGCTATTTTAAAATATTCAGAGAACCTTAAAAATACGTAAAAACATATTTTTTATTAATTTTCTATATGAAGTAATATCGACAGCTTAATTTTTGAGGATAAGTGTTTTCTCGTGTAAAGGTTGAATAAAAAGAGACCTATAATTTTGTTGTCATACAGGGACATAAATTATACATTTTCACCCAAAATTAATGAAAGCAATTTTCTTTTATCTTGACGTTTTTTGAGTCCGTTCCATTTTGTGACACGGGCATCAGATTAAAAAAGTAATTGCACCATTTAAAATGTTGCAAAAATGAAAATTTAACAGCTTTTCAAAAGAAAATTGCCATAAAAAATTATCTGGTGTCTAATTAATGTATGAAAATCCTTCTGGTTGTTTAAGAAGAAGATTTCTTAAATGATCAGAGGACTTTACATACATTAATTAGACACCAGAGAGTTTTTAAATTACTGAAAATTATAAAATATGAAGAAAAATACAAAAATCCGACCTATTTAAATATTAAGCCCCATACTCACACTTCGCTACTTCACTTCCTTCCTTCGTCGCATCCCTTCGTCCAAAAATCTTATATTTACTATGGGAAATGTCGATTTTATGCGACTGTGTGTTCCTTCGTCAAAACGCTCCTTCGTCCGTTTACT